TCTCGCCCAATCTTTCCTCCCGCCATACTCCGCCCTTCTTCTTCTTCCTCTTCTTATATATATAAGGAAATTATACAATATTCCAAATAAATGAAATAATTGAATTTAGATTCCCAATTCTTCGTCTTCTTCTTCCTCCTCCTCGTCCTCCTCTTCTTCTTCTTCTTCCACATACACACCTGCAAGGTCTGTGACATACCAGCATTGGCATCCCCCAACTTCTCTTGAAGTCTGCGCCGATACCAAACTGTTGCATGCCTAATCGGCATCGATCAGAACCGAGAACCGACCTCTCAGAGACAATACGAAGTAGCACAGCGGAAGACCACAATACCAAGATCTGACTAAGCATGGACAATGACAGGACCTGACAGCATACATCATCAATCAGAAAGAAGAAGAGGAGACGAGGCGGGAAGAGGGAGATAGGGAGGATCAGTCACCATAGCCCAATGGACCCAGTCTCCAATGTATCCCCAAGGTCGCTGCTCACATAATGTCAAGTCGCCATGTCACTGAGCTGGGCGATGCCCGAATCTCAACTCTCTCTCTCGTATCTCAGCAGAAGGAGAAGAAGAAGAAACCCTGGAGGGAAAGGTGAAGGGCGATGGATATCAGACAGAGGGAAAGACGAAGAAAAGCAATCCTCTCTCTCTCACACACTGCAAGTACACCAGGTACTAAGCTGCAGAAAGGTGCCGCCTTGATGCAGGTGTGGACATCTCGAAGACGAAGCTGGAGCTATGGCGTCACAGGTAAGTCGCAGGCAGCGCTCCTACCCCTAGCTCGCGCCCAGCGCTGTAGACTACTCTAATTGTGCCCAGCGCGTCGACTACTGAAGACTACTCGCTACTGTCTCAGAGCTGCCTCTGAGAACTACTCTGAACTACCTCAAGAACTACCTGCCTAGAAATGAGGTCGACCAAGCTCTAGTGTCCTAGGCCGAAAGGAAACAGTCTGGTCGAAACAAAAACTGGTCTGGCGCCAAGAACAGAAGTCTGTTCTGGCGCCAAAACTAAAAATGGCAAAAGTAGGAACCAGGCGCAAATACGAAAAGTCTGGCGTCAATTTCCAGAGGTCTGGTCCATGCCAAAAGTAGGAACCAGGCGAAAACACAAAAAGTCTGGCGCCAATTTGCAGAGATCTGGTCAATGCCAAAAGAGAAGATGGCAAAATGAGATAGTGGCCTACTGGGTCCTACGGGTGACACAGACCCTAAACCCTACGAAACCCCTAACCCTACCGGCAGGCCCTGCAGGGCTCATGTGGAACTGAGTATGCCACATCCCCGCACCGAGCAGAGATAGGTACAAGAAGACCCATAACCTTAGGATAGCACCGGGGTTGGCCGAGGTTCCTTACGCCGGTTGGATTCATACCAAGGGTTAACCCAAGGAGATCGTTTGCGACCGCGACACTCGGTTCATGTCCGATTTTTGGTTGGCGCTCACTAAACGATGGGGCTCATCTCTCAAGCCCAGTTGGGCTCGCCACCCACAAGCCGATGGCCAAACGGAGAGGGCGCATCAAACTGCACAGTTTCTTCTTCGCGCTCTCATCCGTTCCGACCAAAAGGATTGGATTAAGCGGCTGCCAGATGTCGAGTTGGCATATAACTCGTCCATTCATGTGGCCATCGGGATGTCGCCCTTTGAGTTCGAGTATGGCTCACCAGTCACTTCTCCATTAGACACAATCATCCCACGGGCAACCGAGAGCGGCGACCACCTTGTCTTTATTTGACGGATGCAAGAGCTTCTTGTCAAGGCACGCGACCAGATGCCGAAGACGCAGCAACGCATGAGCCAACAGGCCAATTGCCAGTGTCTTCCTTGTCCATTCCGGGCCAGCGACCTTGTTTGGGTCTCCGCAGCGGAATTTAGCCTCGAAGAAGATCTCTCTCGCAAGCTCCTCCCAAAATGGATGGGGCCTTGGCGCATTGTAGCCCCCGCAGGTGACGCACCCGAAGGACCATCATTTGTCATTCAGGTGCCCACCCACTTGCCCGTCTACCCGGTCTTTCACTCTTTAAAGTTGGTTCTTTTCGTCTTGGCGGAATGCAACGACTTTCCCGGGTGACGATCGCAAGACCCACCCTCCATGGCTGTTTTCAGGAGGTTGGCAACATCATTTCACAGCGGCACTACGGCACCAAGCCGACGGAGTACTTCATACATTTTTCTTATTGTAGTCATAAGGCTGACCGTTGGTTGACCCGTGCGGAACTTCAGGCCACAGCCCCCAATGTCCTCGCACGTTACGAACGCAAACAGCAAGGCAAGCCGGTACCTTCGGCTCCTCGCCGTACCCGCATCCAGGTTCCACCATCGGATCGTCAGCTTCACCCTCGACCCGGCTTGACTTCATACGAAGGGGGGGTCCTGCACACAGGGCCCATTTTGGGAGCCCGATGGTTGCTGGGGCCCCCAGGCCGCACGCCCTTCGGACGTGCACCCTGGAGGCCCACGACTGGCCATTAGGCCACAGGTCTTGATTTGAGGCAGCATTTATTTATTTATTAAATTATTTATTTATTTATTTATTTATTTATTTAAATTATTTATTTATTTGCTGTCCTATTTTTGTCTGTTCAGGCGTCGTTTCAGACTTGCAGTCCCCAAGGCCGCGCCTTGGCCAAGGTACGCCAGGAGCCAGGCCTCCCCTGTCCAGGTACAGGGTCTGGACGTCTGGTCGGGACCCAGACCCTGCAGGCCCACGTTTTGGGCACACGGTCGTTGGCACACAGAGGCACGCCGGCCGGCTCAGCGCTACTTATAGCTGGGAACCGGCTGAACAGACACACAGTTGAGTAGCTCACTTCTTGGGCGACACGCTGCTGGAGCAGCGCTGCGACACTCAGCAGTACGCTGAAGGTAAAGGTAGAGGCGTAGGAAGGCAGACGGACGGAGGCCATACCTGCATCGGCGGTACTTACCTGGGCACCATAGCCGTGCTCCACGCTGGCCACCTGCACAGGGACCACGACGGCAGTTAGTACATGGCGGCAGTTACCTGCAGGTGAGACAGCGAGGAGGACGATATCTTCTTCTTCGTCTTCGTCTCGCCCTCCGTCTCTTCTCCCTAATTCCTCCTCCTCCTTCTTCTTCTTCTTCTTTCAGAGAGAGAGAGAGAGAGAGAGAGAGAGAGAGATTATAGGCAGAGGTTACACCCGACATCAGGCCCAGAATCTGATTCGGCATTTTTGTGGCAGACATTGATTGGACATTCGGCAGGGAGACTGTTTTTAGACTTTGCTATCGCGATCTTGGTCTTCTCCCTCACCTCCATCTTCATCTCAATTCTCCCCCCATCTCTCATCTGTGGTATCTCCCCCATGTGCGTGTGCAAGGAGGGACCTTTCTTCTGTGTATGCGGTCCCTCGTTCTCTCACATGTGTGGTGCATGATGGGATGTTGGGTCGGTCTCTGATAGGTCAGGTTGTACCTTTGAGTCTTCCGCTGCGCTACATTGTGCTATTTTTGTATGTATCTGGATGTGCATTGCTTGTTGATGCTTTGCTGACACTGCATTGTCCATTCGATTCCTTTTCATCACTTTGCGGATCCTTGGCTCCCCATACATTGCTCGACTGAGCATGTATCAGTTACCTTGGGATGGTAGGTTGTTTGCTGAGATGTGTGAGTGAGGTTCAAATGTAGGTCGGTGTGGGTAGGCGAGGTAGATAGTGTAAGAGGGGTACGAAAACTGAGAGAAGAAAATAGGGTAGTAAAATACATGTGTCCCCCAGACAAGGAGAAGACAGACTGTATTTTCTAAAATAAAAAAATAAAAATAAAAGGGAAGGAAAGCACAGCACCAACCTCTGGGAAACCGTCAAGCCTGACCAGATGAGGATAACAGTGGACCAGCCCATCCAGTGCTTCTGTCACCACATCTGTGGACATCCACAATCAACAAAATTGACATTGGACAACAATAGACACCTTGTCAGATTGAAAATTGCTCACTTTCACCATTTTCTTTCATACTAGCGATGAAATCTGTGCCACAATCTCTGTTTCATTGAGGTACGCCTGACATACAACAATATGCGCCATCAGAAACGATAAAATCTTGTGCAGGAAGAAAGAAATAAAAACATTGTAATGGAATGGCAGGCTCAACAACAATAAGAACCATCTCTCCTATGTGGTAATCTTGAAATGATTGCAATGTTTTTGTTGAATCAGCCGTTCCGCTGCTGCAAATTTGAGTGGTGCAAGGCTACCCATGCTGATGTAGTTGAGTGCTAGCTGCAGGGTTGCATACCCGCCTACCGCCTACGGCAACCGTTTTCCAGCCAACCAGTCTGTAGATGTTACATGCTGAACCTGCACACAGGTCCCATTTTGGGGGCCCGGCGGTTGCTGAGGCCCCCAGGCCACCTGCCCATTCCAGGCACGAGACCTGGAGTCCCGCGGCCACGTTTTGGGGCGCAGGTTCAGAATCTTCAGATCCGAGGCAGCATTTATTAAATTTATTTATTTATTTATTTTACTTACTTTTTTATTTTTTTTACTTGTTGTTGTTCGTCTGTTGCAGGGCGACGTTTCGGACTTGCAATGTCCGACCTAGGCCACTTTCTGGGCCTCCTTCGCGCCTGGTTTTTTTGAGGCCAGGTTCGGTTTCGTCCGCTAGCAGGACGTTCCTTGCTGCATCAGCAGGAAGGCAGGAAGGTCTGGACGTCCGGTAGGGACCCAGACCGAGTAGGCCTTTTCAGGCCAGGGCCAAGGGCACACCAGCGAGGCCCAGCACTATACATAGCTGGGCCAGGCCAGAGCACACACAGTTCGAGCTCACTTCTTAGGCGACACGCTGGTGGAGCAGCGCAACACGGTGCTGCGCTAGGTAGAGGTAGAGGCGAGATAGGAGATAGAGAGGAGGGAGAGAGGCAGAGGCCATACCTGCAGTCGACGGAGGACTTACCTGGCCGCCGTAGCTGGGTCTTCACTCAATGCGCGGAAAGAAAAATGAGGCCCAAGAGCACCCTACGCGACCGTTTTGACAAAATTGTGCCGGGCCTAGCCGGAACTGGTAGTCTCTCTCGTGTATGCTGGCAATCTCTCTGCTATAGCTGGGGGCCGCACTGGTGGTTTAATTTGGAGACAACGACTCTTGATTGTCTGGAAAAGTGAGTGAGATATAACTACATTCAATGAGATAGTCGATTAGCAGAACCTTTTCTCTCAAGATACTAACGGCTCTTGATGGTCTGGAAAAGTGAGTGAGATATAACTACATTCAATGACATAGTCGATTAGCAGAACCTTTTCTCTCAAGATACTATCAGTTGTTAATGATAGGATTGTATGAGCCTTCTCAGATGCCTCATTGCAAGATGACGCACTCGACAGGCCTAGCTCAGCCATGTGAGTTGCAGTTCGGAGTTCATGTGGTCAACTCCAAATCACCTCACTTATGGTTCTTTTTATGCTTGGTCCGCTGCCATCTATGGATCCCCCAGTATTTCTCGGTGACCAATAGTGTAGTACCGTGAGGGAAAGGTGAAAAGAACCGTAAGAAAGGGAGTGAAATAGAAAACCTGGAACCCGATGCAAGCAATCAGTCGAAGGCTGAAATGATGCATCATCAATTGATGGATGATGGGTCAGCAAGTAACTGTATACTGCAAGCTTAAACCCTTAGGTGTAGGCGTAATGAACATCTTTCTCTCAAGAAACTATCACTTGCACTAATGATAGGATTATATGAGCCTTCTCAGATACCTCATTGCAAAATGATGCAGTCAACAGGCCTAGCTCAGTCAGGAAGCCGTGTGAGTTGAGGTTAGGAGGTTATGTGGTCAACTCTAACTCATCTCACTTATGTTTCTTTTCATGCTTGGTGCCCTGCCATCAATGTAGTCTTTGCTTATCGGTAATACATGAGGGTTATTGGGGGTCCAATGCCCCCAGAAGATTGTACTAGCCTACCAGGTGGACAGCTTAACAGTAGAGGCTTACAAAGCATGGCCTTAGCCAACAATGTTGGCTATTTCTTAGGCACTGCTAATGCATGAGGGGGTATTAGGGGTATGATGCCTCCAGCAGATGGTACCCAGCAACGGCTCTATCAGTAAAGGACGGAGTTCCATTCATTTCTTTTTTTTTTCCTTCCTTTTAAACATCCGACAGGGTGGGTTGTTGGGAGAGGTACAAGCATCTCCCAGTTCCCTTCCTAATTCACACATATAAAGGAAGTCTAAGTGGTGGCTGAAGAAAGGAGGAGAGGACAGGTACTGGGGCAGAGCTGATATTAAGAACTATACGGCGCAACATACTCTGAAAATTGAGCCCAGACGTAACAACCTGTCCTCAGAGGACAGCTGTGCTGGAAATTCAAAAGAGAGAGGTACTCAGATTGAACATGTGAATGGAGTTCTACAGCATTGGACAGTGTGATAGGCAGTGAACCAAATACACTCCTCTGAAAAAAACAAAGGAAAAACAAAACAAAAAAAAAGAATCACAAAAGAAAGCAAGGGGAGCAGTCAAATATAAGAAAGTTTGGATCCTCACGAGTTCACAACCACGATGGCAAGGATGAGAGAAAGGACAGGAATGGTGACGAGGACGAGGGTACAGACATGTAACTGTTTGTAAACAGATCATGAGTGGGGGCTATCCCCCTTTTGAGGGGGAAAAAAAGGCAATGACAACAATGCTAATAACAAGAGCAAGGGCAAGGGCAAGGGCCTCACTCCACTATTCACCAACAAATGTGCAAAATGAGAATTAATCTTTATTTATTGGATCTCTGAGGCTTCTAGCATTCTGATGCAATCTCAGGGAAAGCTTGTCTCCATTCTCGGGCTGTTCGTTAAAATTTTTCCCAGAAGATATTTTCTGCTAGGTCTAATAGTTGTATCTGGCGGCCTGGTTTGGCTGAAGAGGCAGTCTTTATCTTCACATATCTTTATAAAGAGACAAAGGCTATGTAAATGGGACGCTGGACCCGGTTTCCAGCAGGTGACGCTCCCCACCAATAGATGGAGTCTCTACCCTTGTGTTAGTGGTGTTTGCTCTTACCAGCAACACTAACACTGGTAGCGTTTTGACTAAAAAGAAAAAAAAATAAAAAATCTTCCGATAGAACATGGGACGATACACCGCCATATTTTTTTGTCTTTTGTGCATGTGGTGAGTCATGGAGCATAGGTCCCAAAAGGGCAAGGACAAGAGACGAGAACAAGCACTAGACAAGAATGACAACAAATACGAGGAAGAGGACAAAGATGACAAAAAGGACGAGGACCAGGGGGGAAAAAAAAAAAAAAGACGAGAAGCGCAAGGACAAAAAATGAAGACAAAGACAGAAAAGACAAGATAAAGAGCAAAAGCAAAGACAGAGTCAAAAGACAGGGAAAAAAGAGACACGGAGAGGAGTGAACAGATGAATCTGGGAAGCTCTGGATGATGCCTATTATTACATATAAATCAAAACACAGCCCACCAGTATGGGCCCCCTTGGCCGAAACGTTGAGCGGTAGACAAGGAGGCCACACTTTCAATGTACAGGCCCATCGGGGACTAGTTCTATTCCTTTGGGTGCAAAAAACATTAGTTCTGCAATTTAAGGTCTGTCACACTGGTGGTTCAAACACCAGCACTTGGAGGCTTCCTTTCGCCGAAGCTGATTTCCCGCTGCAGACCAAATAAAGGAGCCAGCCCGGACACTTGTTTGAGATTTCGTTTTCTTGAAGAGGATTTCCCCTACACACGGAAGAACAATGAACCAGCGAAAGCACCTCTGTGGTCCAAGCACCGAATGTCGCAGCACGTGTGTTGCCGCATCAGAGAGAAATGGCTGGGAAAAGTACTGGTGGTTCATACGAGTAGGCTTGTCTGCTCTGTGATCCATCAGAGCCATGGAGGGGTTCATACGAGTAGGCTTGCCTGCTCAACCCCTCCAGCATGCCCACTGCTGCATTTCAGCAGAGAGTGCCACAGCCCACAATCCTCCAAAAGGGAGAAAGGAAAAGAGGGAAAAAATTCGCTAGTGCCAAGTGTAGTGGATTGGCAAACTGAGAAAAAATACCAACACTGACCTGCCGAGACTGAAACAACAGGCCTACCGAGGTCACACCGACTCTAGTAGTAATATTCCTTCATCACACAAATTTAATTATTTTCCCTTGGGGGGGGGAGGGGGGGGGTAGTTCCCTACTTTTTTTTAATTTAATTTAACTTTAACTACACTTTTTCTTCTCTCAAATTCTTTTTGCCTTTCACTACCTTCCTACCACTACTAAGACAATATAGAGGGGACCCCTGCAAGCATAGGGCCTTGCAAACAAGGTAAATCATTTTGCCCCCCGCCCCGGGGGTCCGGCCAATGCAAGGACCGAGCATTTTGCCAGTAGCTGCACCTCCCTTTCGAATCATCCCCCACACCTCATCAAGTAGCAGCAGAGGCTATGACCAACACTTTCCCACACACCACACACAACCCACTCGTGCTGGCACTCACACCCGTGCTGGTCATAGACCCCGCTAATACCAATCAGGGGTATCCAGGGGACTATCACAGTCCGTTGGCACTAAGTGCGCTGCAGGCGGTCTCTGAAGTGGTGGAACCCGATTTTTTGGGCCGATTATTCTTGGAAGTCTTCTTCAACAGAGATTGGAAATAGAAATTGCCAAAGTTGGGGTACTTAAGATTTTGTGCACCCCTGGTACCCCCCTTTGGTCCAGTAGCCAAGCCTTTCTGCGGTCTCCACGTACGGTTTTTTGGAGGGGGTTTAGCAGTACTACTCGGCCCCTGGCTGTTTGGGCCTACCTGTAGTACTGGCCAGTGTGACCAGGCCCGCAGGCTGGCTCCACTGCCCAGTACAGGGATGCAAGGTCTGCCTGCCCTGGCTCACTTTATGTTGTACTCATGTGATTTTCATCGTTC